TCTTTCATTTTAACTCTCTCTCTCTCTCTCTCTCTCCCTCCTTCTCTCTTTCTCTTTTATTCGTCTTTCCTTCTTCCTTTTTCTCTCTATATTAATTAAATATATTTAACTTTGTTTTCTTTAACTCTATTTTCTTTAACTGTCAAACTGTCAAAAGACATAAACTGTCAAACTGTCAAACGACACGAGTGAAGCAAGCGTAAATACAACAAGCTCGCCGCGCAACTCGACAACCAATCAGACACGCGGAAAAGCGGCAACAATACGTGCGATACATTTCGATTCCGAACACGCACTTCTCGGTACACACGGATTTTTTTATATAGGACTAGCACGCAGGGTCAATGAACGAACGAACGAATGTTACATAATTTGTCGTATGTTTAATATGTTGTTATGTAAAGTGTTAAATCAATAAATGAAATGTGTGAAAATGGTTACAAATATATTTCATGAAGTTGGTAACAAAAATGATTTTGAATTCAGCCGCAGGAACGCCACAGTACTCCCCTCCCAGCGACGTACTACGTTGCGAATCTAACTTTCTTCCTTGGACCAGAATATGTTCTGAGTTGTTTTCCAAGTAAGGTTGACTGAGGTGAATTGGAAGAAGAAGGAGAAGGAGACGTCATGATAATAACATCATCGCTAATCTCTTTCGGTAGGAAGGCTGGTTTAAGACGTTCTGTGGTGATATTGACAATTTTTCCTGCAACATCGATTGCAAACAGATTATCATTAATTCTATTAACAAAACGAAAAGGGCCAGAATAAGGAGGTTGAAGAGATTTCCTAACTGCATCTTCACGAATCCAAACATGAGTGCAATCATATAAATTTTTATGAAAGAAAGGTGTTTTTTTGTGATGATGTGCAGTAGGTCTTGATTTGATCTCTCTCATATGTATTCTATGTTTTTCGATGAAAATTTCAGGGTCAGATGGAAGATCCTCTTCAATGAAAAATTCTCCCGGAATTCTTAATGTAGATCCATAAAGCATTTCCGCAGGAGATGCATTCAAATCTTCTTTAAAGCAAGTACGAAATCCAAGTAAAACTGTTGGCAAAATTTCAATCCAGTTTTCATTTGCGTGACACATAATAGCACTCTTCAATGTACGGTG